AAGCAAGCTCTGCGAGACATTCAGTGTTCATTAAATGATAAAATTATTGATATCACTTCTTCCCTTTTGTTATAGGTAATCAGGGAAATGCCAAATCAAGTGTCTTGACTTGCACAAGATTCCCCTTGTTTTGATATATATAAAAATATATATATGTATAATTATTTACAAGAGCAAATAGCACAGACTAATTGTTCCTATACCCTTCTGAAGATTCTAAGTGACAAAATGACCTCACCATATGCTGACGAATGTACCACAATCACAAGACCCTGATAGAAAGCTCCTGGCCCTACTCTGGCTCTATCATCTTTCAGAATATGGTCAGTATCTTGGCAGAGGATTGGCAAGGTGGGTTTACCACCAGCACAGAGCCTGGAAGGGTTGAGAATAGGTTTGTGTATCAGGATCTAAACAGAAGACAGCACAATACAGCACATTTTATAGGATTAATTGTAGAGGGAATGTCAAATGGGAAATAATACAATTGCAGTAATTGGCAGAGAACTTGTGGAAGGTGAGTCTGTGAGAGCCTAATTGCTTTTGTTTGTGTGAAATGGCTGCCAAAAAGCATTGCTGGATACCTTGGGCTATGTCAACTGTGGTGACGGCAATAAAGTAATTCATTCCTATGTTGGAGCTTGGTCCCCTCCAACACTATTTCAAATGATCATGTTGTGTCTTGGTTAGTATACTCTGACATTAAACTTCACATCCTGGAACAAATCCACATGATGTCAGGTAATTAATGAGAAGATCTGCATTCATGCTGTATGCCCATTGCAAAGATGAAAACATAGAGGATCCCGGGGGTGCATGGATTGACTGAGATTGCACAGCTCATGTTAAATAAAAATTACAGAAGTCCATTGCTATTTATTTATTTATTTATTTAGAGACAGAGTCTTGCTATGTAGTTGAAGGTGGGCTGGAACTCATTATGTACCCCAGGCTAGCCTCAAGGCAATCCTCCTGCCTCAGCTTCCCCAGTGCTAGGATTACGGGAGTGCACCACAATACTTGGCCCCATTGCTTTTGACTAAGTTCTTACTGTGGGCCCTGTACCCCAGACTAAAAGTCAAAGTGGAGTCATTGGTGCTAAAGTTGCATGTCACCTTGCTGAAACTAAGCTATTCATCTTACCTTCCAAGCAAATCAGGAGCAGTGCCAGATTTCCCAAAAAGACAAGTTTTAATTGACATGATAGTGAAGTTCTTTCTGCTTCAATTTTTTCACACAAAAATTAGCCAATTGGTTATTTTCTGTTATTCTGTCTCCCTGTCCCTGTCTTGCAAGAAAAGTAACTTTGAGTCTACTTCTGTTTCTGTTTTCCTCAGTAATTTTCTATCTATAAAAGCAACCTCCTCTGCTCAGGACATTGGAACACTTACTATATGCTATGGCATGAAATGTTGCCCAATTCTAGAACTGAAAATAAAGCCAGTTAAAATCTTTACATTTAGCTGGGTGTGAGTGGTACATGCCTGTAATCCCAGGACTTTGGGAGGTTGAGGCAGAAGGAGCACAAATTCAAGCCCAGGCTGAGCAATTTAGCCAATCTGCAAGCCCCTCTCAAAAACAAAGAGAAATGGAAGCTAGGGTTGTAGCTCAGTATGAAGATCCTGGAGGTTCAATCCCTAGTACCACATACACAAAAACTTTAAATTATAATTTTTTCCTCTGACACCAGTAAGTGGTGTAGCTCTAGCCTCTAACTCTGGTGTTGGAGTTCAGTGCTTTCCTGGCATAACATCTTCCTATCTTCTCTTTCCTCCTCCAGACACAAACATTTCTGATTCTGATTTGGAATATCCAGATGTCTACATCAAGTGAATTCCCACTTCACTTCCCCTAAAGACTATTTCATCTTCTGACGCAAAAAAAACCCATCTCACAGAAATAGCTCTTCCTCTACTGCCAAGGCTGACTGTTACATATCCACATTTTTCCTTTATCTTCCTCTTGTTGACTTGCCTCTTTTCTTTCCAATAGTGGTGATTAAACCCAGGGCTTTCTCACTGAGTTACAGCCTAGCTCTCCTGACCCCCACTTTTATTTTTATTTTGAGACAAAGTCTTGCCAAGTTGCTAAGTTTCCCTGGTGGGGCTCAAACTTGTGGTCCTCCTGCTCCATTCTCCCAGTGTACTGGGATTACAGTATATACCACTATACCTGTCTATGACTTATGTCTTTTTTTTTTTAACTAAAATCTCAGCTCTAGAGGAGCTGGCTGTATCCAGTCAGCATAGTCTCTTCCAGCTCTCCTGTGGTTTGTCCAACTCTTTCACTTCGACCATTCATTCTTCATTTTACTGATCCATTCAAAAATATTTATGGAGTTCCTACTGTCAAGCATTATTGTAAGTGCTGGGATATTATGGTGAGCAAAATAAAACAAAACAAAACATCTGATCTGAATTATACTGGTGAGAGGGACAGCCAAAATTAAAAGGGCAAATCTGTAAAATCAGATAATCATAAGTATTGTTAAGAAAAATAAATCAGGTTAATGGATTCACTGGGGTGCTGGGTAAAAGACTTTTAAAAAGATATGGTCAGGGAAGACTTCAGACATGGTAATGTTTAAATATATTACATGAATGAGGGACTTGAATAATATAACTATTTGAGGGGATAGTGCTAGTAAGAGAACAGCAAAATAAGACTTTGAGGTGGGATAGGCTTGGTGTAATTGAAAAGGAGCAAGGAGACCTGTGTAATTAATTCCAAGGGAATGGGTCTCATTATGCTTCCTGGTTGTGTTAGTAGCTTTCCACTACTCTGACAAAATAACTAAGATAAACAATTATATAGAAAAAATTCATTTGAGCTCAGAGTTTTGAAGGATATAGTCTATGATTGGTTATCCTACTGTTTTGGGCCTCTGGTAAGGCAATACACCATGGCAGGAACAAATTTGTGAACATCATGGACAAGGAGCAAAGGGAAAAAGGGAGAGACCCCCATCCCACAATCACCTTCAAGGCACACCTCAAATAACCTAAAGACCTCCAACCATCCCCACCTCTTTGGGAGCCTCACTTCCCAAAAGTATTTGAAGATGGGCCTTTGGAGGATGCTTCAAATCTAAACTATAGCACTAGTATCGATGGTTTCTAACACATGTGCTCTGTGGCTACCAACCCATTTTAATCCCAGTTGTTCAATGGTAGCTCTTTAGAACTGCGTTCTGAAGACTGCATAAGTTGATATACATAAAGTATACATTTTAATGTATATAGTATGCACAAATCATGTAAAGTATACATTGTATGTAAATAACGGTTCCTAATAGAGTGCTCTAGAAGTTTCTGTCAGTGTCATTGTCATGATCATTATTCTCAGTCCTCTTGAAAATTAATGGGTAGATTAAAGGTCTTTGGGAATAGCTTTTCACAGTCCTAAACAGAATTACATTTCCGGCTTTTACATTCTTGCTTTTACATTTGAATAACTGAGAAATTTTCTTAGATAATTTCTTACTGAAAGAAATTACTTCTACCACATGACCAGAACAAACACAGCCTGGCTTGTCTGTATACTACTTCACAGATTCTGCTTTCATGTCTGGAGTGGGAGGGCACTGCACATTTAAATTTAATGTAAAAGAAATGCAACAACCATAATATTGTTGATGCTGGTGGTAGGGGCAGTGTTGGTTATAACAGCTAACATGTGCTAAGAGTTAACCACTGACCAAGCACTATTCTAAATCATTTGCAGGAATTTTCTTTCTCAACCCTCATAACCTTATGAAGTAGATAGTATATTAAATTGTTTACTGGATAAGGAAATGGAAAATTAAGAATATTCTTGTAATTTCTTCAAGGATAGTTGGTAGGAAAGGGAGCCAGTTTTATACCAGTTTGTTGTGCTCTACAACTTGAGAAATGTGGATAATTCAAAATTCATTTCTTCTTTGATTTACATTTCCCAACCAGATGTGGTGATGCATAATATCTACTTGTATTTCCAGCCTTCTGTGAGGCTGAGGCAAGGGGATTGCAAGTTTGAACTCCACCCTATGTCAAAATAAAAAAATAAAAAAGTGAGCTGGAAATATAACTGTGAATGCCCTGGGTTTAATCCCTAGTGACACACACATACAAATACACACACACACACACACACAAACACCCCACATACACAAATCCTATGGGGTAATGTTTGAAGGGTATAAAGGATAGGAGAAAATTGAAAAAAAATTTTATTTTCTTGAGTCTGATTTTAAAATTAATTTTCTTATCCCTTTATACACTGTGCTTGGGCTAAGGGAGCTGAGGACAACAAGAAAGTGTTTGGCAGAAGCCAATGGTAGAAAGCAGATATGGATTTCATTAGTTACATTAGAATATTGGATCACTTAAATACATATCAGATTTTAGGACCCAGTTGCAGTACTAAGGACTAGGGTTATCCTTTGCAAATGGAGAATCTTATGTCTATTTATGTTTATGTCTTCCTGACACCCAGGTTCCTGTCAGTTGATCTGTGATATTTCATACTGTTGAGTTTTGAGAATCCCAACTCTTAATCTTGACCCAACAACCAGGACACGATATTTGTTTGCAAGTACAACCAAATATATTGGATTATATATCTTTAGCTGTTTATGTCTTTGGCTAAATTTTGTTGAAATGGCACCTTTTCAATAAATTGCCCCCAAACCGCTTTTTATTTAATATTTCTTTAATTTCTTCCTTCCTCTGCCACTTTTGATGCTTTTGATGGGTAATTTTCTGAGTTACTGTCTAAGATTTGTCAAGTATGAACTTCCTGGGAAAGAAGAAATTCCTGGGATTTGTGATTATTCCTTTTCTATGAGAGAGTGTGGCACTGCTGGCTTTCATTTATATTTCTGATATGGTTGTTTTTGTGAGATACAGTGCGACTTTCACAAGTGTGGTTGTCCATGTTGTTCTACAGCTTAGGATTTGAAATAAACTATAACTAAAAGGGGAAAATACAACTAAAAATATTTATTGCAGAAAATAAAAAAGTTAACCAAAGTATTTTATTGATACATTCTTGGACAATACCACAGAATTGAAAGAGAATGGAAAGGGAATTTTTCAGCAAGGATTTTCTTTTCTCCACTAAATTGGCACATAAGCAGCAAGATTAACGAAAGTACTTATTACAAACAGTAAAAAACATACATGCTGTTTTTTAAAGTCCTTATCACACTGGTCAGTCAGAGGGGGCATGAACAAAACCTCAAGACGTGAAAAATCCATATTCTTTCCTTCAAATAGCTTAATAATTATTAAAATTATTGCAAAATATCCATATACCCTAATTAAAATAACAAAAAGGAACACAAATACAAATATTGAACATAAATTATTAACATGTACTGTAAAATACATTACTAGCATGCATTCCAAAGATCAAGACCTCTATTCCATGTGACCAATGCTTTTCTTTTGTGTAACTATCACAAACCAAAGCTAGGTGGGGCATACTTTCTCAGCACAGTTTTTGGTCTTTAAATATCTTTTTGTCTAAAAAAAATAGCATGATTTGCAGTGGTACTGTAATCATAATTATACAGTCATGTACAGATGTATGCATGTCGTTTTTGTCTGCCGAGATCTTTTTAAAATTTTAATTGTTTTAAAATTTTCCCAATATTCCACCATCTGTGAGAATAGGGTTCTATGAAAACAGGGCAATCGAAAACAAACAGTGAACCGAGATACGACGTCAGATGGCAAAGTGCAAAAGTCCTCACAAACTGTACAGAAAATTTCAAAACCTTGCATCCTTGAAGGACATACGTAGAAAGACAGGTCAGCCCCACAACGGTCCTGTGGCTCTCCATGGTTCATCCTAAGGAGCCTGGGTGGGACTTGAGTCTCAACACTCCCTTTGGAAGGGAAGGTCCAGAATTGCAGCCTCATTGGCAGTGCTGATGCCAGTGACTTATTAAGCCAAGATAAAGTAAGGATTATTTCATAAAGCAGCTGTTTAGGACACTTGGATCCTCTAACATTGGTCTCCCAGCCGGGGAAGCTCCTCCAGTGATTGGAAGCGGGCAGGACCAAAAGAGTCCTATGCCAGGTTGGGTGACAGAATAACTGAGGGTCTTCCTCCTCCATGGTTCCATGGAATGGAACAGGTTAGATAACCAGGTTGTTATAACTGACATACTTCTTTTTTGCAGCAGGGCCTGAAAAAAGAAATTAAAAGAGTCAGTTGTGGCAGTGACCCTCTTTTGCACAGGTAGAAGTAGAACTAGACCTGTGATGACTTGTGGTACAAGGTTAAGGTGGGATGAGGAACCTTGGAGGAACATACACAACTTTGGATTCCTCTGTTTCTAAGATTTTGTTAAACCATCTCAATTATTTTTTCTGAGATGTATCCAGCCTCCCTCTTTTTGGTAGGTGAGGCTAGTAAATTTATCAATGGTTGTCACACTTTCTATTTAGCCAACCCTAAGCTTAAAGAGTCCATCCATATTGCATTAAATTTCAGCCTGTGATCCTCCGCCAGACCTTTTCGTAACAAATGTCCTATGCTTGGGAAAGGTTTGTCTTGAGTCACTGGAATTAATTTAGGTTGACAAGAGATTGGGTCAGCCAGAATGCCTTCTCTAGTTCTCAATCACACAATCAAATGACTATAGATCTAATTTTGTTATGATCAGTACATTTAAAATGGTAATTTGCAAAACTATTTTGATTAAGGTTTGACACTCATTTAAACCTGCCAGGTGTCTCAACATGCACAGTCTGCATTTTTTTTGTTGTTACATGTAGAACAAATTATTTTTCTATTTGGTCAAGTGATCAGAATTCTCCTCCTAGTAGTAAATACGTGTCAGTGGCCTCTCATATGGCAGATATAGGGTTAGATACTGAAGAAGGGTTCATGTGAATTTAGAGGAACTGAGAAGCTGCATTAGCAAATTAAGACAGAGTTTTATCTGGTCTTTGAGTGATGCTTCCAATATGGTATAGATACATATATGCACAGTTTGTTTTTCAAAACACCATGCACTGTCTTAGAAGACTGTTCTTATATTTTGGATTCAAAATTAAGATTTCTTTCCTAGGAATTCCAATTGGAAGGCTCATTTCTCTGTTATACCTTGTTAACTAACATGAAAGGAAAAATAGAGTTACATAAAATTGAGGGTCTCCTAAAAAATCTCGTCATGCGATTTCAGCCATGATGTATTTTTGCTTGATAACTGCATGGCCTCAGTTCAATAATGCCCAAGTCTTCTAAGAAGTCTTCATCTGTGTTACAATATTTAGTCTTCAACAGTATTCTTGGTTTGGATACAAGGGGAAAACTTTCTGAAGGTATTTCTTTATTTACAGTGTCATAGTGAGAAAATCTCAGCGGACACTTGAAAATCATAGTCACAGCATGATTTGTCAAATGCCAACCTGCTAATTATCCTTAGGATCAAAGGGGAAATAAAGGAAACAAGGAACCTGGAAGCTTGTCCTAACCTAAATATCTGAGACTGACTCTGTTTTGTGATTAATTATAAAATTGTTTTTCATATAAGTGTAACTCTCTAGTAGAAAAGAAGTAATTGACATTTCTTTAATGGGTTACTACAGTGCACCAGTCACTAAGGAAGAGCCTTTAGTGAAAGAATAATAAATTAGAAAATAACATCCCTATGTTGTAGAACAGAGCACTGCTTTGATTAAAATAAAATCCATACCAAGTCATGTTTAAAAATTAAAAGTTATGATTTGCAGAATACAATGGAATTTACCGGTGCTTTGCGTGGATTACCTTCTTGTGTTCTCAGATAGCCTATAGATGAATACCATTTATAATTTCAATTGCACATGGGAAGGATCTGAGGCTTAGAAGGTCTGGCACTCTAGACCTAGGCTACATTGTACTTGAGTCTGCACTTTCCTCTTTAGGTCACAGTAGGAAGACCATGCTCTAGCTGGACTTTTGACTCTGATGGAGATCCATGGTGTGATTAGCCCAATACCATGATGCTGAATTTCTTGGAGCCTTTGTAAAATGGGGAGATTAATCCTTACCCTGCATTGATGATACAAATATTTGAATTATTCCAGTTTTTCATTGGAGAATATAATGTATAAATATATTTTTAAGTTAAAAATTTGTATACAAATGATAAGCCTCCATATGTGGTTTCTTAGCAAAATTGCTTAGATAACTCCCAGCAAAATTATAATGAAGTCCATGCATTTCCTAGAATGGCAATATATGTACCTTCCACAACAGTGTCCAATGTATTATAATTTTATTTCCAAAGGATTTTAGTCTTATGGTTAAATAAAATAAATGCCCATGATATTTCCATTTATTGGGATAGCAAGGTAGTTTATGGTCCAGGAAAGAAAACAGTTTATCTCACAATAGTTGTCCAGTGAAATACTTGTTAAAGAAATACACTTTTTAGTTTTATAATAGCTAGATCTGTTTTTTTTTTTTTTAGTTTGTCTGTTTTTTGGTCTTTTTTACTTATGATGTTATAGCTTTTAAAGAAAAACAATGGTAGATGACATTGTTCCTATTGAAACAAGGTATCTTGAAAAGTTGGTATCTACAATAAATGTAAAGGACACTGGTTTATGCATCACTGATGCACATCTGCTACTTAAGATAGGTCAGATCTTCCAGCTCATTCTTGGTATGTTGTCAAAATGAACACTCAAGTTGATACTAACTTTGAGTTATGTAGTTGTTTCCTTCTTAATGTTTTTTCAATTTCATTTCTCAAAGTGTATTCTGTGGAACATTTGTTCCAATTTTAGTATATATGCTCTGAACTGAGCACTTCTGTGGAACATTTGTAACTCAGATTAAAGGAAGTATGGAAAAAAAGAAAAGAAAAATGGAAAAGGAAAAGAATCTCACAAATATTATTTTGGAGAAACACTAATAAATAGGATTCTCTCCCACCCCACTTTTAATTTCTTTGTTTTGTAAATAATAAGAATTTTGATAGTATATTAGCTATATGGTACATGTCCTGTAGAGGATTTTTTTCTAAATTAAATATATAGCAGGTTATGGTGGCACAAACATGTAATACCAGCACTTGGGAGGCTGAGGCAGGAGGATTGCCCCTAGTTCAAGGCCAATCTGGGCCACAAAGTGAGTACAAGCCCAGCCTGAAGTACAAAGTAAGACCCTGTCTCAAAAAAAAAAAAAAATTAAATGTGTTTATATAGATGTATATGTGTGGAAGTAAATGTATGAAATGATTCAAACATCTATAAAAGGTAAATCAAGAAAGTATATCATATCCCTGAATATAACACATGCAAATATTGACATCTTTTATTCCTGCTGTACGCAGATGGGTAATAAGTACAGTTGAATCCATCCCTACTCTTCAACTCCACCTCAGTTCTTTCCTCAACCCTCCACAGCTACTGTCTTGAAGCTGACACACGTTGTACTAGTTCATGTTTAGTTGCCCATAACTACAGATAGTACTGATTTATGTGTTTTAAAGCATACAAGATGATCCTTCTTTATGGGTGAGTAGTACTCCATAAAAACACATCTTTATCCATTTATCAGTTGATGAGCTTTCAGGCTGTTTCCAAGATTTAGCTATTGCAAACTGTGCTGCTATACACATGGGTGCACAGATATCACTGTGGTATGATGCTTTTTAGTTCCTTTTGGAAGATACCAAGAAGGGGGATAGCTGGGTCAAAAGGAACCTATAGTTTTAGTTTTTTGAGGAATCTCCACACTGATTTCCACAGTGGTTGCACCAGTCTACACTCCCACCAACAGCGGAGAAGGGTTCTTTTTCTTCCCACAGCCTCGGCAGCATTTGTTATTCACTGATTTCTTAATAAAACCATCCATTCTGGGATGAGATAGAATATCAGTATTAATTTGCATCTCTCAGATGACCATTGTTGTTGAAGATTTTTTCATATATTTATTTGCTGTTTGTATTTCTTTATCTGAGAAGTGTCTTTTCATTTCAGATGCCCATTTTTGGACCGGGTCTTTAAATGTGTGGAGTCTGATTTTTTTGTTCTTTATATATTCCTGATATTAGTCCTTTGTCTGAAAAGTCCTTTGTCTGAGCTGATAAGTTTTTTCCACTCTGCGTTGTCTTGTCACTCTGTTGGCAACTTCTTTTGCTGTGCAAAAGCTTTTTACTAAGCTTTTTAATAAGGTGAGATCCTAGTTGTTGGTTCTTTGTCCTATTTCCTGTGTGTTCGGGGTTTTGTTCATAAAATTTTTGCCTACAACAATGTCTTCAAAAGTTCTACCTATTTTATCCTCCAGCAGATTTAGTGTTTCTGTTTTAATATTTAGATATTTGATCCATTTCAATTTTAGTTTAGGGCATGGTGACATTTCTAGGTAAATGAATGCACCTTGGGACCATACTCTTAAGTGAAATAAATCAGATACACTTGCATAAATATTACATTATTTCTCTGGTGTGAGAAACTGATAGAGTAAATAAGGACCAAAATGTATAATAGATATTTTGAAATAGAGAGAAAATGTTTGGATGGGAAGGGGAACTAGGAAGAGGGGAGATGGAAAGGAAAGAAGGGAAAACAAAAAAATAGAAAAGAAAGAAAATGTAAACAAATATTTGTACATAAGGAAGGTAAGAGAAGTTGAAGGGAGGAAAGGGGAATGGGAAAAAAGAAGAAGATATATCATGTACAGGTACAAATTCCTGATGATGAATGTGATCATTGTGTATATCTAAAATGTACTCATAAGATTAATTAAAAATCATGCAAAAGATCTTATTCTCTGCATAATCATTTGCAACCTACTTTTCAAATAATGCATTTTGAAATTTATTTTTGCTGATTTGGTAATTATTTTTACTGTATAATTTTCTCATACAGCAAAATTGCTATAACTCTTTCTTTCTATTGATGAACTTTACTTCCCAAATTTTTCAGTACCAAATGGTGCTGGAGTAGATGACATTTGAAAAAACAACATCATTAACACAATTGAATGACAAAGGAATAATTCAAGAGAAAATATTTGCCATATATTTGCTGACAAAGGATTGATACCAAAAATTATTTAATTTATGCAAATGATTGAATAAGAGACTCTAATTTTTAGAAAATCCTTTAAAAATATAACAAGGCAATTGGTAGATGAAATACAAATTAATAAAAATTCTCAATATTAGCCAATTAGAGAAATACAAAA